GTTTAGTTTTTAATAGTTGCCAGCATGCTTCGCTTGGCTCTGCATGAAGAAATAAAATCCCTGGGGTCTAAAACAGCTCATGTTTCTCTTATCCCTGCCCTATTCATGTAGAGGGCTCTGGCATGGACACTGGTGGCTTTTAGAATTTACAAGGTAATAGGAAAGAATGAGTGTCTATAAAATCATTTAAGAATAGACAGCACGACTGTATCTAAATTGTAAGACATCATGACCAAGGTCCCCATATCCACCCCAATACCTGAAAAATGAATTTGAAACTAATAACAGGTGTCCAGCACAGGGTGGGCCTTGGTAATTCACCTGTCTTCCCTCCCTGCTTCTTCTGTCCAATTCATTTTCACTAAGAGCAGGAAACCTATGATGCTTGGTTCCTGGTGAGAATGTGCCAGAGGATATTCATCTGTACAGGACAGAGGGCTCTATTTTCAGCAATCAAGGGAAATTCCAACCAGGCTATACACAAATGTTGAAACACACGTCTGTTTATTTGTTTTCGAGCAATTTGGTTCCTAACACTTCACTTCAAGGACCCCTACTGAAGCCCTCAGTAAGGTGCTGGATGGTAACGCGCTGCCTGGGAGTATGAATGGGGTGAGGGAAGCCATCAGCCCTGTTGGTCGTTGGGCTCAGCTGGAAGTGGCTAGCATCCCTAACATCTGGATGATGAGAAGGATGATTTATTGTCTGGAGAATGGAGTTAAATTCTGGGTGATATCAGGAAGCCTGAAACAGTAGCAGCAGTGTATTGCAAAAGAGCAGGCAATTTACACAAAGAAAATCCATGAGATCTCACTACGTATTTTATTATAAACATGGAAAATAAACATAGCTGTATGCTGGCATACAATTAAGACATTATTTTAAATCCTGTCATGATTTTTTTTAAGTCAGGGTCCCTTTCATCCAGGCTGGAGTGCAGCGGCAAATCACAGTTCATTGCAGTCTCAATTTCCTGGGTTCAGGTGATCCTTCCACTTTAGCCTTCTTCTGCATAGCTGGGACTACAGGCATGCGCCATTATGCCTGGCTAATTTTTAAAATTTTTTGTACAGACGAGGTCTCACTATGTTGCCCAGGCTGGTCTTATAATCCTGAGCGCAAGCAATCCTCCTGCCTTGGTCTCCCAAAGTGCTATGATTACAGGTGTGAGCCACCATGCCTGGTCCCAAGTCATGATTTTAGAAACCTGTAACATTTAATTTCAAAGCAAACTTCTTGAAATGATGAAACATTAATTCCATTGCCTTTTTAAAAAAATACTTAAGAAATGTGTGCCCACTGTAAGCTGCTTTATTTTGGACACTTGGAGAACCACACTTTTATTGCCCTGGGTCACTGGGTCACTTTCTTTTTGGGACATAGAGGCTCCATGGAACTTTACCATCATGACACAAATGAAATGCATTCCACCAACAGGGCATTTCTAGGACCACACTATTTCCTTTTGTTTCCTCAAGTGACTGTGACTTCTACTCCACTCACCTCAGGATAACCATCCCCCTGCCCCTTGCATTTAGTGATTGCTATAATCTTCCTCATCTCCATGCAACATTTCTCTCTCTCTTTTTTCTTTCTTTTTGTCTTTTAACTGCCAACAACAACCTCTCTGAACTTCTCTACACAAACCACAAAAGGCTGTGACTTCCCGCAGTGTTCCCTAACTTCCGGTCTTAGCAATCTAAATCCCAAAAACCCCATGGGCAATTTATTGACCTCTTTTCTCGCATAAATAATAAGAAATGGAGAGGAGTGTGGCAGACAAGTGACTCACTCAAGAGATCATGTGTTTCTCTGGACTTCACGTATTTCCAGAGAATATTTCTGTAGTTTCTGTTAGCTGCTCATTTATGAATGTTCCAACCTCACAGCCACTTAAAGCAATTAAGTCAGATCCCTTTGTAAGACACTAACTCAATGGAGGTTCCTTAATGCAAGAAAGTTTCGGCTTGGAACCAACTTTACACACAGAGAGATGTCAGGAGCATGGGGAAGCACTGGGCGCTTCACAAGGAAGTAGGCGGCACAACTCAACTTTGAATTGATGTCAGAGTTATTGTGCCATCTCTCAGAAATCTGCTACTAATGGCCTTGTAATCTCACTGATTGAGAACTGTGACCAGGGCCAAGGGAGGTTCCTGCTTTCATGTAATTTGCAGATTCTTAGACTGCTTTCTTTCACAATTTTGAATTCTACTGCTCATTTCAATATGTTCTTAAGAAATGGTGGTGATTGGCCTATGTATATTGCAGTGGGCAGAAAACCAGCAACAGTTTCTCCAATCCTTAGTTTTCATAACTTTTCTGGAATTTGGATCCAGTGCTGTGTCTTAAAAGGGTGAAGCCACTTGCATGCCCGCATGTGTAAGAATGTGTTCTTGTGTGTGCTTGACTGAGGTGTGTGTGTGTATGTGTGTGTGTTTTGGGGATAAAGGAATGTGCTTCAGTTAACCAATGTGGGTTGGAGGCCAGATTCCATGCTATGGAACTCCACCACAGGTTCCTGCCACTAGGTTCTTGATCTTCACAAGATCAAATACAATGATCCCCAAGGGATCCCTACTGAGGTGGGTAGAAGTTCAGTGTTTCTTCTCCCATTGCCTTTCTGAATATGGCAACCATAGCCTGACCCTAGGTACTGTCTGGGTTGGTTGAGTGTGCCAAGATTGCCGCACTAACATTGTGCTACAACCCTGGCTAAGTTCTTCTTGATAGAATTCCAGGAACAAAATGGGTCAAAGTCATTCTTCTTCTAATATCTAATTCTAATTCAAGTGATCCCCTGCCCTAACCTTTGTATCTATCTTCTTAGTACTGACACCTGTTCAAAGTGTATCCTTCTTGAAGAACTTGGCCCACGTTTACAGCATAACAATGATTTCTTTTAGGAACTTTACATAATGAACCACTCAGTTGGGACAGGGTTGTGACAACTCTTAGGCAAATGTGAGAGCAGATTTCTATGTCATGTGTGAAGATGTAGAAATAAAGTTTATTTACTTTAAGCACTATTAGGACTTCTATGTGTCCTGCTCTGCCACATTCCTCTCCTTCTCCATGAAGAAAAGAGAGGCAGAAGTAGAATTTAAAATTAAAAATAAAAGGAAGAGATTATAAAGGCTTAAAATATTAAAGGAAAATTCTTTTGCGCCTCAATGAATAAATGGTTGTTGAATCTTAACTCTTTTGTCCCATCGCCCTAATGACTGGGCCTGTTTATGTTTTAGCCAAGAAAACTTCCCTCTTCTCATCAGAGGTGTGACCATTCAAACACAAGAGACCCAGAGAACCCCTACAAGGCATCACATGAGAATACCAACTCCTAGACACATAGTAATTCAGTACACAAAGTAGGTATAAAAGAAAATATCCTAAAGGCAGCGAGAGAGAGAAAGGTCAGACTACCTACCAGGGAAGACCAATTAGAATAACAGCAGACTTATCTATCGAAACACCACAGGCTAGAAGAGACGAAGTCCAATCTTCAAAGTTCTCAGAGATAAACAATTCCAACCTAGAAATTCCTACCCAGCTAAGCTAAGCTTCATCAGCAATGGAGAATTAAAATCCTTCCCAGACATTCAATCCCTAAGAATTTATGCCACCTCCAGACCAGCTATACAAGAGACGCTTAAGAAAATGTTTTCAGTCCTTAGGAAGACCACACAGCCCACGTATCCTGAGTAGCCCACATTTCTATTCTGTTTCTGTCTCCTTTTGGATCAGTCTTTCATTTGGTATGTATGGTTGCTATATCTACCACACACAATTAACTCTAATAGGGATACAATTTTGATAAATATTTACATTTTTAATGAAACACACACAAAACACACACACAGATAATTCACAAATGATCAAATCCTTGGGAAAATCTCTGCCATTTGTTCATTAAGGTAAAGTGTCATTAGGGTCACAGAACAGTCAGTTGTGAAATTTGTTTCCAGAAGTTTTCCAAGTAGACGCAATAAGCATAACTTAGATCATGCAAAATTCTTAATGTGTATTTGTCTTGGAACTTAAAGACTGAAAGAGAGGATACATGGAGAGCTATACAACACACCAGGGGCTATTATCCACAATAACAACAACAATAATAATATACAACGCTATAAGATTATTAAAATCTATTCTATAATGCACAGAGAAGTACCTGGTTAAAGCTGTTAAATATATGACAGGGTCTGTTTTCAGTGCAATGTATCAAATTTGGCAATGTAGGGGTATAAAAAATATAGTTTTGGTTTTCCAGATGTGGAACAAACTAAAATATAAGGCTTTTCAGATAAAATATAAAGAACTTAGTCATATGTTGGATCTGTTAAGTATTGTTATGCATATTCATTCCACTTTCCAACCTTAACAAACAAAGGTATATATAATGTGTTTAGCATCAGGAGAATCATATCTTCTTCCACCCATCTCTTTTAAATATTATTATCCATTTGAAAGCATCCTGGTGAAGTCATTTCCCCCCTAAATTTTCCCTGTCTTTCTCCTCTATTAACTAAGAAGATATCAGGAAGATACTGAATTCCTTCCCTGTGACTTACATTCAGTTTCCATTTTTAAGCAATTTTTAAAAAGTCAATGTTGTAGTATCTGAGTGGTTATACTAGATCATTAACATGGAAATCGTAAAATGTGACCCTCAATTTTTGTGTGTGTGTGTGTTGGAGTCTCACTCTGTCACCCTGGCTGGAATGCAGTGGCACACTCATGGCCACTGCAGTCTTGACCTGCTGGTCTCAGAAGATCCTTCTGCCTCAGCTTTCCAAGTAGCTGGAACTACAGGCATGCACCACCACACTCCTCTAATTTTTTGATTTACCATAGAGATGAGATCTCGCCAAGTTGCTCAGGCTGGTTTTGAACCCATGGGCTCAGGCAATCCTCTCCCCTCAGCCTCCCAAAGTGCTGGGATTATAGGCATAAGCCAGACCCTTAATGCCAATTTTCTTTATTCTTTTCTTTTTTATCTTCTTTTTCTATTTTTTCTACTTCCCTCCTGTCCTTTCTTCCTTCCTTCCTTCTTAGAATTCATTGAAGTATTTCCTAGGTACTAGCCTTTTACTTATTATTTTATTCAAAGCTTATCTTTGTGCCCAACATGTGAAAAGCAAAAATGTCTCTCCAAAATTCTATATTACAATATAGACAAAGAAGCTGGACCTTGGGGGACTTGAGTTTCACTTAAATACTATACACATGTGGTTATCACACAAGGGAGAAGGGGAAACAAAAAATAAACATAACAATTACTTTTTAGTCAGTCTTTACAAAAGAAAGCCTTGTTTCTAATGAAAAAGTCTTTATGGCCTCTGCTCCCAGAAGTCTGCCCAAAGAACATGTTACCCGTAGCTTTGAAAGGCTTTCTTTTTCAAAGCACATCCCCTGTTCCCACGAGGTTGCATGGGTTGGATTTTCCTGTTCTTAGTTGAGCAACGAATAAGCGCTGGATGAGTTTTCCAGGGATGAGCTGGTTGTTTCTGGGGTGGAAACATTATACGTTCCTGGAAAACAGAGCAGCAGCTCAGAAAGACCAGCCTTCATAAACGCTGGACTGTAAACATCTCCTAATGGACCCAGGGGAGCTCAGATCCAGGAGCCAGGCAAGCTCAGCCATGCCTGGAAATCCCCCATGACCCAGGAGTGCCAGAGAACAGAGCTGTTGTTCTCACGCATGCGTAGCAGCTGACAAGCACTAACTACTTTCCATCATACCAGCAGCCAGGTTTCTACAAAGGACAGGAAGATCTTGAGGTGGGCAGCCTCCCTCTCCACATGCCACCACATGCATGGGCCTGGGAATATCTGCAGAAGGGAACCCCCCTGTTCCCCTTGGGTTATGTTGGCAGGGAAGCTCTTGGGAGGGACCTGGAGGATATGCTAAAGGCTAAGGCTTGTAGAGGGAGGAAAATGAAAGAAAAGAAACTTATAGGGGAAGAAAAAGTAGGACCAGAAAAGAAGCAGAAGTCAGGAATGCCACCAAGGGGCTGAAGACCAGCGCAGCAAGGAGAGCATCTTCAGAGCCAGTCTGCAGGGAAGTGAGGACTGTGCACAGAGAGGGGGTGGAGAGTATGTGTTGGGCAGCTGAAGTGTCCAAGTGCCCACCCTACCATCAGATTGCTGAACTGCCACTGCTAACAAGGTTTCCATCATTGCGTGGGGGGACCTTTAGGGCTGCTGACAACATAAACCAAAGTTATAGTGCTTACAAAACCCCACACAGGCCCAAGTGGTTATGCCTTTATTAATGATCCCCAGAGGCTATCCAGTAGCAGTGTCCAGGAATCTCAGCTCTGGTACCTCGACACTCAGGTTTATCTGACTGATTCAGAAACTAGGAACATATTTTATTGGTTTTACATAATTTTGATTCTGTGGAAATATTTAATAGTGCTTGCATCGTTGATGCAAGTGGTAAACACGTTCTAGTAACTGTGCTAGCAAGGTGTGATAGTTCTAATACACCCTGAAGATTTAATCATTTCACAACAGGTCAGATCAGTGACTTTCAAAATCAAAAGCTGAGATTCACCAGTTTCTTGAGTAATTCTCCAGATTGAAGCAGAAAACACCAAATGCTCTGGAGTTTTAAAAGTTACAGGCATTCCTCAAATTTGCCTTTACATAAAAAGCCTTTTCTGGAATATTGACACATTTCCAGACTCTGCATTTGTGAAATCTGTTCTGTTTCAAAAAGCAGGAAGGAATTCTGAACTTATTTGCCTGGAAGGGGTGGAGGCAATGGTGCCATGAGTGACCCCGGAGTTTCGATTTGATAGAATAGCTGAGACCCATTGCCCAAAGTCATTGCCACTATGTTTCATATTCCCAAGCTAGAAATTTAACTGTGAATGTTACTATAGAATAGCTAACTTGGGTGATCCCTCATATACACACTCACAGTTTTGTAAATGTCAAGCCCATCCCATAAAAGAAGAAAAAGGACAACAAACCCACAGAGTGAGATCTTGTAGTGGAATTTTCTAAGTAATATTTTTTGCCGCATCATCACCCAGAAAGGTGACTGATCCACTTAACATCAGTGGATGAGAACTCTGTGTTTGACAAGGCCAGCAATCTCCACTTCCCATTTTTATGGTTGATCTTTTGACAGAGAGCTTTCCAAAGGTTTGTCTGGATTCGCTGGATCTTATTCTTCTTGAGTTATTATCAGTTGCCTCCTGAAGGTAGCTGCCCTCTGTACCCACCTTCTGGTGATTTGTGAAAATGTAAGCACATTTTTATATTTAACATCTACACCAAAGGAGGCCATTTCAGGTAGATGTCATGAATTGGGGTGAGGGAGTAGGGGCATTGCTCCCATCAGAGCAATTTGTTCTGGTCAGCCAGGGAGCCCCTAGAGCTCACTACGTACCTGTTTTACCAAACAAATTGTTAAATCTTCTTGATATTGGAGAACTCATAGAAAACACAGGCGTGGATGAACCTAGGGATGATGACTAGAAGAGAGGAAAAAAAAGATGATCACAAAGTAAATTTATTAGATCAAGACTGTTTTGATCTCTTAAGAGGATTGATTTTCCACCCTCCAGTAGTCATGGTTGATATCTCTGGTCCACCCCCTTGAATCACATTGAGATACTTGAATCTAATCATCTGAATTTAAAAAATAACCTTCAAATACATGTTATATTATTTGATAGGTTTCTAATATCTTCAGACATGTGAAAGGTAGCCAGATGTGTTTAAAAGCAATAGTTATGTTCTGAAATAAACTATAGATAATTGGCCGGACATAGTGGCTCATGCCTGTAATCCCAGCACTTCTGGAGGCCGAGGCAAGAGAGTTGCCTGAGCCCAGGGGTTTGAGACCAGCCTGAACAACTTGGTGAGACCTCGTATCTACAACAAATCAAGAAAACTTAGCTGGGTATGATGGTGCATGCCTATAGCTCTAGCTATTGGAAGACTGAGGCGAAAGGATCGCCTGAGTCCAGGAAGTTGATGCTGTGGTGGTCATGAGCAGCGTGCCACTGCACTTCAGCCTGGGCAACAGACTGAGACTCTCAGACTCAAAAAGCAAAACAAAACAAAACAAAAAACTAAAGATAATTTTGTTCACCAAATATTCCCCAAATTGTTTTTTCTAATGCCTTGAATTCCCTCAGAAGATTGTTTATCATTGAAAGTTTGATTTTCAACTTAAGTTTACATTATCTGTTGCTTAAATCCCTATTTAAAGATGCGAAGTAGCATCTTAATGATAGCGCTATGGTTATGTCTAATAGGCAGAATGAGGCAAGAAGCAAAAAAAAATTTAACAATTTTTGTCAAAACTAGTCGTGGAGGAAGAGGGGTTTGAGGACACAACGTATTTAACCCCATTGATCAAAATCCCACATAAAGATTTAGTACTCTCTACTCCATCATACCAGTGAAATACATGAAGATGTAAGTCTCTGCAGAGAAAAGGTTTACCTTTGAGTGCTGTGAAGACCATCTCGACAATGAAAACTTATTCAGCAAAGCTTCCTGTACCTGCATTATTTAAAAGAAGCTACCATAACTTCAACATGTCACAAGCACTTTAGAATTTTCTAGAAGCATGAAGCTGTCATTGTTCTTACCTTGAGATCCCAGAGGCATCCGAAGAGTAAAATAAATAATCCCTGAGAAAAAGGTTAAGAAGTGCATTTTAATGATATCCTTTTGTCCAGCAAAATAGGAAGTATTGTTAGCTCGGTGTTAAATGCGTACTACAGCTTTCCCCATCTGAGTTTATGGAACGAGTCCAGGACGTGATATTGTTTAAAGGGATGCACAGGTCCACACCAAGGGGTTCTAAATGTTATGTTAGAAGGATATTTTCTGTTTCTCTATTTCCCTTCAATTGTGAACTGGAATGTCCTGCTGGTTATGCTAGTGAATACACCTTGTATGTTTAGAGTATTCCTCACATGGTTGTGATAAGAATTTGGGGCTTGGAGTGGAATAAGTAGTTCCTTCTAACCAAAGAAAATTACAAAGGTCATTAGATATGAGCCTTGTAGCCTGGAGCCACAGGCCCAGTAGTAGAAATTAGAGTTCATATGTTCTTGGCACAAGCATCTAGAAAGCAAAAGCTCAACTACACCTCCACCCTTCTGCCTCCTCACTAGCTCACAGGAGCCTGCCTCCTTGGGCAGGTCTTTTTCTATCCTTACCACCTCTCCATTGGGTGAGACAGAATTAATCACTCCCTTCCTTGTGCTCCAAAGGTTTGGTGTCTGCACCTCTGTTATAACTCTTCTAACAAATTGGCCTGCATTGTAATTAGTTAGGTGCTGCAGGAGAGTGAAGATGTCTTCTCATTTTTTATAATCAGGCAGATTACCTGACATTTCTAGTGCATTCGTTCTTTCATTTTTCCGCAAATGTTCCCAGAGAGCCTACTATGCTGTACAAGGCACTCATTTCATTCAAATGGTTATTGAGAACCTACTGTGTACTAAGGTCTCTATTAGACACTAGGGACATAGTGATGAATAAGAAAGATGCAATACCTGTCCTCACAAAGACAGGATTTTCATTTAGGAGATAAAGGACTGCATCAAGTCTTGAATAAATAGCAAAATCCAGCGTAGGGAAGGGACTTTCCTTCTATGTGTATAATCAGGGCATTTTTAAGAGATTGGCAAATGCAACTAAATCATAATGAATGTGATAAAAAGTGCAAGCTTCCATGGGAGCAGAGGAATGTGTCCTTTCTAGCTCATTGAGTTATTGTTATTGCTGCTCTGGAGGGCTAAGGCTTCCTCTGGACTAAAATCCTTCCCCATTCCTACTCTTGTTTGTGTTTCTATCATTGGTTTGTCCCACAGGAATTAAATCTTCCTGAGAGCTCTGCACTTCAGGACTCACCTGGAAGGCATTGAGGAGGGCAAATATGACATGAAACACAAGGGTGGTCCCTGGGAACACAGTAGCGAGACCAAAACCCCAAGTGAGCCCCAAGAGTGGCGTGAGGACTCCGATGCTCTTGCTGATCTGAAACAGGCTGCTTTTCTCCTGTTTGCATGGCTTGTCCCCAATGGAAGGCCTCAGGATCTTGGTAATGACCACCACGGTGATGGTCACATTCACCACCACAATGATCAGTGCTGGGACAGCGAAGGCCAGTAGGGCCTTGGTATCTTCCCAGTTGAGCCAACAGACATTCTTCCTTGTGTAGACTTCCTGTGGCTGGGTGGCCCCCACTGTAATGACTGAGATGGCAAGGGGGCAGCCGTAGCCAAGAGAAAAGGCAATGGCCTTCTGGGTGGACTTGCTCGCCTCGTGCAGAATGAAAACCAGGCGATAGAACAGCATGAGGCCCAACGTCAGCATCCAGAAGAAGACACTGAGGTAGAAGAAGTGGATGAAGAAGGTGGCGACCACACAGGCTGGCTTGCAGAGTACGTAGTGATTATCCTGGATGGAAGCAACCACAATGAACCAGGTGTCGGCGATCATGAGGGAGGCGGCGATGTTCACTATGCAAATGTGGCGCATATAGGAAGTCCGGTTCTTTGTCACTGATTTCCACACCACAGCTTCCACAACCAGACAGGCCGCCAGGCTCAAGATAGAAAAGCCCAACCCAATGTAAGAAATAATATCCAGTAGTATTCCCATGAGAGAGCTGGGGTCTGGGGAGTCAGGGGACATGAGGATGGAGAATGATGTTAGGTGGTCACAGATACAGGAAACATTGTCCCCGTTACCTTCTTCGACATGGCACCCACTGCTGTCCCAACCCCCTGTGTGGTTGGCGAGGCTGAAGTTCCAGAATACACACTTGGCTTCCCCGCCCGGAGGGCTGTTTTTCTTAAAAGTCATCGAAATGCTGAATGGCATGGTTATATCGTGGCTGACAGTGGTTGTCATCACTAAGCTGTCTGCAAAATTCTTTCCCTGGATATCCTGGGCAAGGATGGTGTGGAGGGTTGGGAAAGCCACGGTGACAATAGATGAATCAGGCTGCAAGTTTTCCAACTGGCACTTGTCGATGACCACATTGCCCCAGAGGTCAGAGTCTGAGAAAACAAACTTCTGTTGGTAGGTTTCAGGGTGGCTAGATTTTACGACCATGCTGCTCATCTGCACATTCGTTTGGGAGAAGGACAGAGAAGGGCTGTCTCCTGCCCGTAGTGCTTGGGAAAATCTTTCCACTGAATGCAGTAGCTGTGAACTCTGGTTGGCCCGTTGCTGTTGTAAAACCTTCCAGGTGTTCAGGATGGACTTGCCAAGGATGATGTTAACTGTAGAGAGCACGTGCTGTAAGGAACATGGCATGGGGTCAAATCAAACAAACTCTTTCCATTATAAAGGAGAAAAAAAAATCACATCTCCCTGGAAACTGATTGAGTAAGTACAGGTAAGAGGAAAATGAGGCATTGCAGGCAGTGGAGGTCTGTGACCTGCCTTCTTGTGGTAGACGTTAGCCGAGGATGGGTCTCTAAGACTGCGAGACATCATTAAACCTACAGCAGTGGTAGTGATAGGAAAAATCACATCCTCACACATCCCACTCACTAAGACCAATCCAGCAGGCTGGCAGCAATATTATTTTATTAAATCTCAAGCTTGTAAAGGTTTTTTGGTGGTAGTATTTCACCAGTAAGGGTGAGGAAATCTCAAAGACCCTCTCATATCCTGAGTGTTGAATGAACTATACAAGTCCTATCCAAGATATCTATTCTTTTCTGCTAAACAATTTGATTCTCTTTCATAGACTGGGGCTTGTCATTTTCCATTAAGACCCTCCCACTAAACAATTTCTTTGCCTTTCTTTGCCTTGTTGTGTTCTCTGGAAGTATGACCTTTACAGAAGGTTGAAATAGTGTCCCCCAAAACGACAACTCCTAAACCATAAATCCTGTGAATGTAACCTTACTTGGATAAATAGTTTTTGTAGATGTAATTTAAATTAAGAATCCATCGTGGAGTACCTGAGTGGGTTCTAAATCCAATGACAGGTATTCGTACAGAGGCAGAAGAGGAGAAGACAGATGGAAAAGGGGAAAGGCCATGTGGAGACAGAATCAGAGACTGGAGTGACGCAGCTACTGTTGATGAATGCCTGGAACCACCAGAAGCTGGAAGAGGCAAGGGAGGATTTTCCTCTAGAGACTTTGGCGAGAATGTAGCCCTGCAGATGCCTTGATTTCAGACTTCTAGCCTTCAAAACTGTAAAAGAATACATTTCTGTCATTGTGGAAAATTATTTGACCTCTTTGGACTCTGTTACTAAGCTTATTGCCAGTTGGCCTCTGGTTGGGTTTGTCCAGTGGGAGACATTGGCAGGAGATGGAAGGGTGGGAGAAGGGAGAAGTTGAGATACACTTTCCTTGCTGCCTATCACCCCCTACAGTCCCCATTCCTAGTCCCCTTTCATCTCTGGTAATAATTATGGCCTTTCAAGGCCATAGCTCTTGCTGACTGGTCCGTCCCCCAAGGTGCCAGCTCTCACTGGGTTCTGTTTGCACCATTTCCCAGGGGGTGATAACAGTTTCTAAATGTTGCTGATCTCTGGGTCCCTCACCATCCCTCGTTCATTTGTTTTTTATCCCTCGCTTTTCCTCTGCAAGTTTCCCTTCATTAAAACCTCTTTGTTTGAACTCTTGTGAGTGAATTATCTTTCCTTCCCTGATTGCTTCGAAGTTCATGTTTAGTGCTAGAGAATCTCACCTAGTATTCTGAAAACCTTTAGTTTCTAGTTTTCCCAGGAAGTAGGTAAGAATTCGTTGGTTTAATGAAAACGAAGCAGAAATTCACTAAAGAAATATTCTTAAGGTCCCCAAAGGAATACTGAAACCCTCCCTAATATATCAAAAGTTGTAGATTGCAGAATGTGTGACTCTAATATGCAAAGCATTGCTGGAAAAAACAGAGAGGCTGCAGTAAGAAGGAGTTGTTTCTTGAACACAAGTCCTGAGAGGTGAAGATAAGGTCCCAATAACTGCAAAGCTGAAGCGAACTCACCGTCATCATTTCTGAATTTACTTGGGTAGGAACTGTTGAAAGCAGATCGAGGATGTTAATAACAGCTCCTAGGCTCCCAGGAGATGAGCTAATTTCCCATTCCATCTTGTCTGTGCTAACAGAAAGATCTTTCAGGTATGTAGGGAGTTTCTCATCCTGAGTGGGGCTCTTGATCAACGCCTAGTAAAGCAAAAGCCCAAACAAACAAACAAACAAACAAACAAAAAATGCCCATTAGTTCAGCTATCAAATCTGGCTGATCTATTTATGACAAAAAATTTCTCACCTCTGTAGTTTCCTTTTTTTTCTCATTCTCATGGCTATAAGTATGTCCCATAAGATAATGTACTTATCTCTTAAACTCTGCATATGCTCTTCAAAATGGAATGTGACAGAGACCTCACACAGAAGAGGAACAGTAAAACATTTGTCAATCTCATAACTAACTGGGGAAAAAAGAGGGAAGATAGATGTGATTGCTGTATAATTTGATTAAAGTTGAGTACAATTGTCACTGGTTGAGTAAAATAGTCTGCATGAAAGTACATTTGTCACTCTTTGCTGGGTTAATTACTCAGATTACCCTGCTGATTATTAAGGTGACTGTTCATTTCAATTTTCCTGGGACAGTTCTGGTTTATATCTTTTCTCTGAGTGCAATTATTAAGAGTTCCCACTCATATTCAAAATGTGTCCCTGATTTGGATGATAGATTATATGGTTACCCTATCTATAATAAATAATAATCATATTTCTGTTGTCTAACTCTCAAACTCCTTCTTATAGAATAAGTTCAAATTCTATCTTCTATGAAAAGCCTTTGCTGAGTGTTCCAGGGAATTTCTTTCCTCTGAATGCATAAGTATTTGTTTTATTTAACATACTTTACATCTGTAACATCTCTAGTGATGTGATCTTGTGTTTTAATTTCTCTCTCTTTTTTTTTTTTTGAGTTAGAGTCTCACTCTGTCATCCAGACTGGAGTGCAATGACATGCTCCCGGCCACCACAGTCTCTACCTGCTAGGTTCTGACGATCCTTCCGCCTCAGCCTTCCAAATAGCCAGAACTACAGGCGCACACTACCACGCCCGGCTGATTTTTGAGTTATTGTAGAGATGAGGTCTCGCCAAGCTGCCCGGGCGGGTTTGAATTTGCGGGTTCAGGCAATCCACTCGTCTCGGCCTCCCAAAGTGCTGGGATTACAGGCTGAGCCACCGAGTCTGGCCTAATTTCAATATCATTCATTTCCATTTCTTTGCATCCTTCTGATAAAGCCTAACATAGTACAAGTCACATAACTTGGCACATAGTAAGTGTCCAATAAACATATGCTGAATGTATAAATCAAATGGAGCACAATAGATTAGCACAATCAATTCTTTTTCATTGAAAATGTATCTAGGGACGATGCACAGTGGTTCGCGCCTATAATCTCAGCACTTTGGGAGGCCGAGGTGAGAGGATTGCGTGAGCCCACGGGTTTGAGACCAGCCTGGGCAACTTGGCAAGACCTCATCCCTACAAAAAATCAAAAAAATAAGCTGGGTGTGGTAGCAGCCTGGGCAGATTGAGGCTGCGGTGACTGTAAATGTGCCACTGCTCTCCAGCCTGGGGAACAGAGTGAGACTCCAACTCAAAAAAAAAAAAAGAAAGAAAGAAAGAAAGAAAATGTATCTAGGTATCTAGAGTTGGGATCAGAACCCACACTGAGTTTAAAATTATAATTTCATCTTTCCTGATTAGGATAATTTATATCCCACATACTTCACCCATCACAGTCCAGCTCATATGCCTTTTTTTTCCCAAGCAGAACTTCTTGATTTATCTTAGCTAAAATTCATGTGTATATAACTACCCAATTGGATTATATTCTTTATTAAACCATAGGTCAAGTTCTGATTTGGCCCATTTACTTTGACAACACCTATGGCAATGCTTTACACATAATAGATATTTTAATAATTTTAGTGTGAGATGAGGAGAAACAGAAGATAATTCAATGAAACACAAATAAGTACCTCCCCCCCATTTTTTTTCTATTCTTCCTCCAGTGGTGAGAAGATTTGGAACTGGTTGTCTGAAGACATCCCCATTAGCTATAACTCTATTAACTGCATTGCTAGTATTTATTGTTATCATTCATGAAATTTTATGTGTCTCTAACTTACAACAAATTAAGTATGGAGGTAACATTTATTTATTTTGATAGAAAGAAAAAGTTTACCCCAGCTACACAGTAGTATCCTCTCTTCTAGCTAAGAAAGGCAACATAGTCCCTTCCTCAGAAGTACAGGTTACCTCCAAGGATTGAGAACATCTTGGACCTATGAAAGCATCACGCCCAACTATTTTTTTTTAACTGATGAACCTTATTTTTCACATTGTTCCTCTTTCTGTAAAGATTATGACTATTTGCTTGATATCAAAATTACTCAAAAGAGTACAGTAAGAGAGAGGATAATATCACCGCCCCTTGGAGGTACTGGACACAAGTACTGGGAAGTCAAGGTTGGTGTATCCAGCCAGTGCTAGAGCGGAACACATACTTTGTTGCCTTCATATTTGAATGCAGGCATTTCAAGGGTTGCATCTCCTCTGGAAGTTAACAAATAAAAAGTAGTTTGGAGCAACAGAAACCAGCACAAAATCCAATTTCCTGGGTGCTGAGAAATATGACAAGTCAAACAGGTCCCCCCACCAAGAGCTTGGAGTGAAAGGGTTCAGAATTACCTTGGCCATCTGAAGCAGACTATTTATTTGGGCAGAGATGCAGTCATTTCTTTTCTCCTTCCACTGGGAGCCTTCACATTTATAAGTGATGATCCCACCAATGGGACTGCCTGGGCTGCTGGGGACGTTTGAGAACTGGCACAGCTTCTGGATGACTTTCCCGGGTTCCCCGACACCTATTATGGGATCTTGGCATGTGATGTTCTCCCCTATGACGGAAACATGGAAATAAAAGGGATGATGGCGAGGAGGAACCAAGACAGTGGAAATAGTACCAGGCCTAGGTGAAATGTGGATGTTTAAAATCAAATTTCTCTTTACTTTCTGTGACCTTTTGGGAGCTAGCCAATTGCTCAACTTTGCCCCTGATTTTCCAAAGTCCCTCACTGCTTTCCACACAAATCTGACTTCTGCAATCTGTACTTGCTTTGCTTTACAGAATCATTTCCTTAGTCTAGAGTTTGTTAGCTGTGGTATATTATAATCACCTGCAGAGCTTTTGAAAATGCAAATGTCCAGGTTCAGTAAATCAGAATCTCTAGGGCTGGGACTCAGGCATCAAGAGTTTTGTTTTTGGGTGTTTTGTTTCGTTTTGTTTTGTTAGCTTCTCTGGAGATTCCTGATTGCTGTGAAGGTTGAGAAGCACTCCCATAACCAAAGACATTTTAAGATTGGGAATTCCGGGTACCCATGACCTGAATATTCCAATCAATATGCTTAAGCATTTGTCCCTTCTACTTTCCCTTAATGGTGATTCTAATTCACCTCTACTCATGACCAAACAAATTAGGGAAATGACATTTGTTACAAAATCTCTAATCTCCGGAGTAGCCGACTCTGATGAGCTGACCCCTCCCTCACCAACATTCTTATTTAGCATTATCTGAGATCTCAATTCTTATATAACATCTTAAAATAAATAAGTAATGTCTTACTGAGAAAAGGAAGTGAAACCAGATTTGGTATAAAGAAAGAGGAGAAGAGCAAAGATACGTGAATCAAGCTTGTAGGTTGAGATAGCGAGAGGTGGGCAATGAAAAAATGAACTTTGCTGCCCCCTGGAGGGGCTGGGCTTGGCAGAGTCGGGGACAGTGACTTTAAATTGTTTCCTGCTTTGGTGTCCAGGGCCCAGTTGCCAACATATGTGACAATGACCACAAATTGTTCAGTAAACTCAAACAAGCTTGGTGACAGAGCTCCGGATCCTTCATATACCAGGAGTCCTGTTACTGGGATGATTTAGGAGGGGTGGATGGTTCCTTCTGACAGAAGCCCAGGTTCATTATTTATCCCTTCCTCTCTTTTGCTACTGAGGAGAGCTCTTCAGCATGGGCTATTATAGCAATGGCCTCCACAGCTCCATGAATCATGACCTTTTACCTTGAAGATATTATATAAGAACATATTGGCTCAGTGATGGCAAAGGATGCCTATTCTTGAGATCAATTATTTTCATGTAGCCCTGCCTCAGGAAAGCAGTGCCTGTGGGAGCACCCTTCTTTTGCTGAAGCCACAAAGAAATCTTAAATATGTATAGATACTGTCCACTCTTATCTGCCTGATGAACACAGCCTCCATACTAGCAGAAGTATGATTTTATCTGCAAGGCCTTCTTTATCACGTCTTCCCCCTACCTTCAGCAGAACTAAGCCAGATGGCCTCTTCTGGCTACCCACAACATCTCTAGTGAACACTTACTATACTGTATGTGATAACATTTTTTATCCCATATATCTCTTGCCTAGGCTTGAGGCCAAAAGATGTGCCTTACTTTTTTTTTTCCAAGCCCCATTGGTAAACCCATGGCCTGCCACAACGAAGTGTTTAACATATATTTACTGAATGAACCAATGAGGGAGTGAATAAATAAATGAATCCCTGCTCCTGGTTATAACATTTTGAAGTAATTTAAAACACTCTTACCAGGAACCAGATTGAGCTTCATAGATGGGCTCTGGACTGAACTATTGGCGGCATTGGTAAAGTGACAAAACACATCAACAGTTGTTGAACACCAGGAAACTGAGTTTGCATTGAAATGGTGTTTGTAGCACACTTGTTTTCCGTTAACTTCTTTTGCTAAAGATAGAGGTATTGAAAGAATTAACTTACAGCATGAGTATCAAAGCACAAATTTTGTTAAGATGACCTAGTATAGCTGGGCGCAGTGACTCAAGTCTGTAATCCTAGCACATTGGGAGGCGGAGGCGAGAAGAATGTTTGAGTTCAGGGGTTTGAGACCAGCCTGAGCAACATGATGAGCCCTCAGCTCTATAAACAACAACAACAACAATTAGCTGGGCATGGTAGCACATGTCTGTGGTCCCAGTTACCCAGAAGACTGAGGCGGAAGGATCACCTGAGCCCAGTAGGTTGAGGCTGTGGTGGCCCTGAGCATGCCATTGAACTCCAACCTGGGTGACAGAGTGAGACTCTGAATCAAAAAAAAAAAAAAGGATGACCTAGTATAGATAAACCAGTTCAAACTTTTTTCAGGAATGTGCCACATTCATTTTTAGCATGGTTATCTTACAGTTACATGGTTTTGATTCTAGCTTTTGAAGTAAGTAAGCCCACGTTGGTACATATGCTAGCCAAAACTTCTCTAACATTCATGACTCTAAGTCTATACCCACACATTTTTGACATCAAAATGCCTTTCTAGCACCCCTGCAATCCCTCTACTCTTCTAAATTCTATCATGCTCTGTGCATTTATCCTGTCTTTCCTTTACCACATTGGTTTATAGTCACCTTCTTATGGGTCTGTCTTCTCTGCTAGACCACAAGCCCCTGGAGAGAAAGTGCCTTGTCTTATTTATCTTTGCACCTCTCAGTGCTTAACTCAGTATCTGGCACATAGAAAGTACTGAGTGCATGCATGCTGAACAAGAATGATGAAATGTTTGGATATGCCAATATCCAGATTGATTCCATATCCTCCTACCATGCAGCCTTCTCTAAACACTACAATCTTTGTTGGGTCCCTATTTTTCTAAACTTCCATTGTTCTTTCAATCTGTATTACTCATTTAAAATAATGTTATGTGTATTGCCTCATATGACATGGACTCTATTAGATATTAAAATTTGTGCCCTGCTTCTTTTGTCCTCCTTTCATTACCTACTATGGTGACTTGCACTGTGCAAGTCTTCAAGAATAGTTATTGAAAGAATTAAGGGGTTTGTAAACCCCTCATGAAGGTGTCTGTGTTTTGAGGTTTTGGGTTGTGATCTCATGTTTGGTTTACCTTAATTGCTGGGAATCCTGAGAGGTCTGGACTAGGGGCACAGTATACCAGTGAAAATTTTAATTCTTTTTTTTTTTTTCTCCAGAGAACATAGGATGCTACCAACAGACAGCTTTAAGCTCATCTTGGAATTCCTAAACCAGGTAGGCAGTATATAGTCAAAGCCCATGCCTGGTTGACAGCAGGACAATTATAACTTGGAAGAGAAATCTTTTGTTCACCCAGAGATGAAGCCTAGTTCTCAACTCTGGCAAATTGGTTTTTGTTTTTCTAGCCTACTCTTTTACTGAGCATATCACCCTTTGAAGGTTCTGACACTGCCAGTGGGATAGGGGTTCCTTAGTTACCTCTTAGGTAATAAAATATTTTCTTTAATACCCTCTGGGTTTTGAATATTGACAAAGGCCCACAGGGAAGTTCTAGCATTAGTTAAAACATTGTATCTATACTTTTGGTACTTGGTTATTTTTCTTACTTTCTTGTATATTCAATTATGTATGTAAAAGTGTTTTTGTGGCTCTTTTCTAGCATGACATTTTATAGCATGGAGGAAAGGACTATCAGAATTATCTAGTCTGCCATATTGAGGAAGTGGAAATCTTATGAAGATATCTTGATACAGTCTTCAACAGCTTCCACTAGAAAGAATGAACTCCATCTTCACACACTCCTAAGATTCTGCCACAAACCAAAGAACCACTAGTCACATAGCAAAATAGAAGATAAAAAAGTCTTATGAAATTCTATTCTGTTAATTCTATCTCCAATACAGTCCCTATGATCTTTATTTTAAGAGTAAATTTTTACACTCCACATATGGGAAACAATATACCCTAGCAATTCAGTAATTGACATCTTACCTGCAGAAAGGAACAAGGAACCCATTTGGAAAGTTACTTTGTAGTCTTCATCCTCCTCTATACAGCACATGATGTGCTGGGAACCACTGCATGGAACACTAGCTTCCAAGGGATCAACCATGATGTTTGGCTCTAGAGGCAGCGGGTGAACGATGACATCTTTGGTTGCAATACTGTATGAATTCTTATATCTAAATATGCAATGATAGGTTCCTAGTGGAGGGAAGCAAAAATGAGATGGAATGAAATAATTGTTCTTAAAAGGCATTTGCTGGGAAGGTTAACAAGAGGCTTAATTTTCCCTCTCAAACCTGGATAAGGGCACATCATACCTTCTGGGACACTGGAGGAGAAAATGCTTGCAATACCCACCTCCTGGATTCTCCATGTATTTTAAGGACTAATCAATGACTACCTAGACATGCACTTACTTCTAAGTAAAATTACACGGCTTATCTAAGCTGTTAGGGGCAGAACTGGGTTTTGAAACAGGTTTCCAATTCCTACTTCACCAGCCCAAGAAATAAATAAGAATTTTGGTGTATGCAAGGATACAGAGTTTTTGTAGAGAGTTGTTTGCCTGATGGAACAGTGGTGTTATGATGTCCCCTCCTACATCTCCATCTCTAAGTGGACAAGCCTTTCAGGTTCTAGGACACCATGGCTTCAGAAGGAGAAGACCTCACTTGGGCAGCTGCCATGGGGAAAATACAGCAAGATTACAATGGTACCTACAGTTGAAAGACCCTTTGATTTTCTCGACATTCTTTCTCTTTAACTCAGGAAAAGCTAGAATCAGTGGGTAGCCAGAGGGAAAAGAAGTAGAATGAGAGAGAGGATAAATTATTTTTAATTCTCATTGGGAGGGAGAGGGAATTTAAATTGAATATAGAATGAAGTGTAACAGATTTAATCAGAATAGATTTTTTTCAGTACCCGAGTATGAGACTGTTTAACAGTTTGATGTGACTAGAAAAGCTATAGACTCTTGTAGGTTATTGCCCAGTAGTAAGAAAGAGCAACTGGACAGGGTATGTTTGACGTCAGCCTGGGAGAAAAATATTTTCATTTTCTGATTGTATACTCCCAAGTCCAGCCCAAAAAATAACTCATATTTCTCCAGTATTGCCTAGGCCTTATAAAATAAAATAAAGAAGGCCTGGGACTCATAGTATCTAGGCTAATTAACCTTACAGTTAATGAAAGATTTTAGAGGGAAGTGGTTGAGAATTGGCTGCTGGGGCCAGGTAATCTGAGCTTACATTCCAGCTCTGCCATCCGTCAGATATATAACCTTGGATAATTTACTTAACCTCACTGAGTTTCAGTTTCCTCATCTGTAAAAAGGGCATAATAATACTATCTTCCAGGTTTTATGCTTTAAATAAGTTAAAACATTTAAATATCTATTACATAGTAAGGGCTCGATAAATATGAGCTATTATTGCAGTAGCTCTATCAAATTCTCTTTGTTTTCAAATATTTGCATTTCCTCACAAAACAAACAGTGTAAGGAAGTAAATAAGACATTTCTTTCTTTGGAATCAAAATATAAAATCTTCACCTAGGTCTAGCAGTTTTAAGAACAATCCTCTTCATCGCAAGTTAAGAGCACAGGCTCCAAAAGTAGAAAGATTAGTTTTATTCCTAGCTTTGCAACTGAATTTGTTTAAGCCTAGGCATATTTATTATCCTCTCGGAACCTCAGATACCACATCTATAAAATGGGAATGATGGTATCTTCCCCCAAAGGACTGTTGCAGTAAATGATATATTTCATGTTAAGTGGCTGGCCCACGAATGTCCCAGAGCAGTACTCCCATCCCCGCCCCAGGGATGGTAACTCTTAATGTATGTTTCCAGGGACACAAGCAGCAATGCACAGTATCTGGCCGTTCACTCACCATTCCACTCTCTGGTCGAGGTCATGACTGTCAGGACTGACTCTGCTCTACTGGGATACCTCCTCGTGGTAAAAAACCTTTGATAGATTTTAATTCCAGCAGAAGTATTCCAGTATACCTCATCATAGGTAGTCACATCACTGATGCATTTTATAGAAAAGTTTTGTCCCTCAGAAACAGAAATTGGGTCCGGAGTTATTGTTAGGTTAGCTGAAAAAACGCAAACAGAACAGACAAAAAAAACAAAACCGACAAGTCCAATGTTGAGTCTTTCTGGTGACATTGACACATGAGTGAAATTTCAGACAGAGACAGACAAAACGGACCATCCTGACTCTACTTGTGTCAATGCGGGATTGGTACCTTGCTGTTCCTGGGCTTTACTTGTTTCTAGGCTGTTCCCGGTGGTGCTCTGAACTGTACTCATTTCCATCTCATGCCTTAGGACCTCGTGCACTTCCCTTTTGTGGCTGGAATTATCTCCTGATGATCAGCAGGGCAAAAGGTTGCAAACTTAAGAGTGTTAACTTATCCCAAGTTCCCCTCCAACCTCCTTGGTAACACCTCAAGAGATAATAAATGGCTGGGTTCCTATAACAACTTCATTCTCTATACCTTTAAAATAGCATACTGCATATTTATTTCTCTCTTTCTATATCTCTCCTCCAAAAACATGGGAGCCCTCGAGGGTGGGCCTTTGGCTTCTATGTCTTTGCATACCCAGCACTCAGCACTTGGTCTTGTGCTTCATAAATACTTAATAATAGTAACTATTACTGCATGTGTCCAGGGGCTCAGCCAGCACAACGCAGTATCTGGCTGTCCACCCACCATTCCACACTCTGGTGGAGAAGACCGTTCCTAGCTCTACAGCTGAAGTTGTTTAAGCCTAGGTATATCTGTTATCCTCTCTGAGTCTCAGTTTCCACGGCTGTAAAATCGGATCAATGCCATCTTCCTCCAAAGGACTGTTGTAGTAAATACGACTGTTGCAGTAAATGCTAGGAAGCATGCTGAGTCAGTGCTTCATAAGCAAAAGAGTGAACTCTGGAACTGCATTTTAGTTAGGGGGATTATAGAGTGCATTGCCCAAATAATTACACCTGCACTGTCTCAGGCAAACTGGAACATAGGGAGCACCTTAAGTATAATTGTAATTATATACATAGTAATCTAATTATTTATATGTATAATTATAATTAACTTTACTATATATTTACTCCTCTTTCTGAGAAGTTCCTCATAGGTTTGTGAAAAAATATTTATTGAAAATTGTCGATAGGTCCATTACAAATATAAAAGCTTTTATGAGCATCCTACTATTTTTGCCTCTGGTTCTATCTCCTACTTCACTTGGAACATATCTTTTTCCATGGTTGATGTTTCAAAATGCCGTTCACTTCAGTCTCATACAGGTGAACAGCTTCAAGTCTTGAGCCCATTGACCCTGTTCTTCTCATCCATGTGAAATCTTATTCTCAATCACAATCTAAAGAAATCAGGGTTTTTCATAGTACCATTGAGAAGATGGCCTTCACATGTTCAGCTACAACCCCAGAGTCATTCAAGAAAGGTATTTTGTGTCCTTGCACACATTCCCTGGCTATGGCGATCTTAGATGACTCTCTAAGGTTTAGCTATTTCTGAACATGAAAAGAAAAAGGCTCAGGAAACCATGAATTTTGTTCTCTTGATTCCCCAATGAGGTTCCAAACTACCAGACCTGTGATTTTCAGCAAAGGCTAAATCATCTCCCTAAGATATGTTTCATTTTTGCAGATGGAATGAAGCTATATTTCAAATTTTTGCAGAAATATTAGGTTTATCTGAAAACATTATTGCCCTAGAAGAACTTATTGCTGCTTGGGACAATTTGCAGTTTTCTACAGTCAGGGAAGTTTTGCACGCTGAGTGTTAACTTGAGAGGCATGTTGATTACGTGGGTTCACCTAACCTAATCTTGATCTTTGTAAAAATGCTAAGTCACAATAGAAGAAAATGGAATCAAGAGTAACAAGCATTACCTGTATCAGTTCTTTACAGTAGCTCAAAAATGGTCTGATAATTAATCTAGATAATTTATTTTTGTAAAACTTGTGGGAAAATGTGTTTAAAGGAAGATGGGGTGAATTATAATGCTTGGTGATATGAGGAGAAATGACACTTTTAAGATGCCTCTCTAAACTGATTGAGAAATTAAAAAAAAACTTGTTCCAACTATAACCACAAAATGCCAATTATTACAGCTTTCTGCAGCATTATCTCTAGAAGAGGTGAAATGGGAGAGGAGGGACAGTGGAGGGAGCTGAGGGGAGTGGGTGAGTGACTCAGGCTGCTGGAATTCAAGAAAGGAAGAATGGGATTATGGGGAGGGAGGAAAGGGGAAAATTAGGGCCACTGTCCTCATGACTCATTCAGTGAAAGTAGGACTAACCCTTCTGTAAAACTCCCAGCCTACCTGCTCCCTTAGCTATAGTATGCCAGGTTCCTTCCTGGCAGCCACTGTGTCCCACCACGACCTTTCCCGATTTTCCCACTCCCAGGGAAGGTCCTGCTGTATTGTGTTTACAGATATTTATGGTTGATTGACAGCCCTTACTTAAGGTTCAACTTATTGATGGTTAAATATTCTAGTGAAAGAATTCTTACCCACAGAGGTGAATGTCACTTTTATGCTCTTACTGCCTCTGGCTCCATGGGCACTGATGAACTCACACGTGTAGATGACTGTTGTTCCAGATGACTCGCTTGGGCATTGGGTTCCGTTGGCCTTGATGATGTATCTACTGCAGCTAGAATCTACGTCTGTTTCAGGGTTTCCTATAATGACAAAAATTTTTTTGCCATCACAGTTGTCTAACTCTCTGATTTAGTGACAAAAAGACCAAATCAGTAAAAAGCATTTACTATCTAAGTAGATCTCTTCTCTTTGTTTTTGTTTTGTTTTGTTTTGTTTTGAGTTGGAGTCTCACTCTGTCATCCAGACTGGAGTGCAATGGCCGCTCCCAGCCACCGCAGCCTCGACCTGCTGGGCTCCGGCGATCCTTCCGCCTCAGCCTTCCAGATCTCTTTTCTTTGAATGGAGAGGCAGGAGATATAGTGGTTAGGTCTACAGACTCCAGATCCAGGTTGGGCTTCAGACCCCAAACTTTATCACCTACTAGCAGGGAACTGTTGAGAAAGTCTCTCACCCACTCCACGTCTCAGTTCTCCAGATGTAAAATGGGGATAAATAATAGTAGTCACTACCCAGGACCAAGTAAGGTTAAATGAGGTAATACATATAAAACACTTCCAAGTGTCTGGCTGAAGCCTGCCTCTAAAAAAGACCATGAGTAATGGTCATTGGAATGCGAAAAATAAAAAATAGAAGCAAGGTTTTTGGGTATGCCCTTACTGGAAGGAAAAAAGATGTCAGGTTATTTAGACCACCATTATTATCGAAGGAGGAAGCAACACTGGGACACCTGATAGTCATCTCATTTGAGAAACATTTTCCCCAGTTTGTTCCCTCTTTGAATCTTTGTATTTTAGTGAAAGCTTCAACTTCATGCTTTCTTAGTTACCAACAGTTTTTCCTTTAAAAGGACTTCCTTTCTGTACTTTCCTTTCCATTCCCAGAAATATCACACCTTCCAAGCATCTTGCTTAGGGATCTACAACACTCTGTGGCTGACTTTTACTACTCCAGTCTCTTTACTCTTTCCTCCAGCTTGGCCAGCCATCAGGCACTCCTAAGCATTCTTCAAACACTATCCATCTTCCAAAATGAAAGAAAAAGAATAAGCCTCTTGATCAGTTCCAGCAGGAATGTGGCTTTTTCATCCTTGGCTGGATGATCAGTGATATTTAAAATATTATGACTGACATGCAACTAGCTTTTCTCCTTTGTCCCCAGAGTAGTTGTTTAAAACACCAAACTAGCCGGGCTCGGTGGCTCAGCCTGTAATCCCGTGACTTTGGGAGGCTGAGGTGAGTGGATTGCCTGAGCCCGCGGGTCGAGACCCACCCGGGTAGGCGAGACTTCATCTCTACAATAAGTCAAAAAAATTAGCCGGGCATGGTAGTGCACGCCTGTAGTTCCAGCTACTTGGAAGGCTGAGGCGGAAGGATCGCCGGAGTCCAGCAGGTCGAGGCTGCGGTGGCCAGTGCGGCCACTGCACTCCAGTCTGGGCGACAATAAGACTCCAACTCAAAAAATAAATAAATAAATAAATAAATAAATAAATAAAATAAAACACCAAGCCGGGCTCGGTGGCTCAGCCTGTAATTCCACGCCTTTGGGAGGCTGAGGTGAGTGGATTGCCTGAGCCCGCAGGTTCGAGACCTGCCTGGGAAGCAAGACCTCATCTCTACAATAAATCAAAAAATCAGCCGGGCGTGGTAGCGCATGCCTATAATTCCGGCTACTCAGAAGGCTGAGGTGGAAGGATCGCCAGAGCCCAGCGGGTCGAGGCTCCAGTCTGGGCGACAGAGTGAGATTCCAACTCAAAAATAAATAAATAAATAAATAAAATAAAACACCAAACTGACTTCCATTTTCATCGACCTTGACTAAATTACCTCGTAGCTCATAGGCACAAGTGTTCCTACCCATCTCTAAGGCTCAGCCTTCCATTTATCTTTTGAAAAGCCATTCCTCCAATTGGTCCAGGAAATCACTGCATCCTTTGTCTTTCCAGTCCCTTGTGTCTTTAATCTTTCCTCATATTCTTTCACTTCAATCCCTAAATATACTCATCTCCCCTTCCTAAAATACTCTTTCCGCAGTCTGAGAGCTCTCTAGCCACCACCGCATTTTCTTCCTCTCTTTATACAACTATACTTCTGCTTTTGCCACCATTAATTTTTTACTCCTGTTTTTCATCAAATCTTTGCAATTGGCCTTCTTCACCCTCTATTGCACCAAATGTTTCTTTAAGGCCAACAGACACCTCCTCTTTACTACATCCAGTGGCCTCTCCTTGGGCTACTTGGACCACAGCATCCCGTGTTGCTGATCACCTTCTTTCTGCTTTGGCATGCTTGATTCCACAGGTATCTTCTGCTCCTCTTTTCTTCTCATCCCTCTTTCTGGGTCTCCCTCCCAGGCTGCTTTTCCTCTGTTTCCTTCTTAAGTGTTACCCCTCTCCACAACTTTTTCTCCATCTTCTTCCTAAGCAATCTCATCTATGCCCATGGCTTCTATTACATTCTATCTGAATGGCTCCCATTCTATTTCTAAGAGAAACACTCCTGTTGGAAATGTTAGAAACAAATTCTCAAGTGTCAATTTGACATCTTAGGTACCTTTAACTCAACATGTCAAATAAAGGATTAATCTTTCTTCTCTCCAGACAAGATATGCACATCTTTCAGTGTGTCCTCTCTTTGCACGGGCACTTCCCCAAATTAAAAATCTTAAAGTCATCTTTTTCTGTTTTTGTTTTTGTTTTTTGTTTTGAGTTGGAGTCTCACTCTGTCACCCAGACTGGAGTGCAGTGGCCACTCCCGGCCACTACAGCC